CATTATTATGATAGAAAAAAAATTCAATCCAGCACAACTTTCTTGGCCTTTTCTTCATCAAGGCAGTTTTCCATTTTCTTCAAACCTTTCCCTAATAAACCACCAAGAACATCCTGTGAGAAAATCTTCTTTGAGAAAATCTATTGAAAGTGACCATAACCTTCTGAATTGACTTTTCTTCTTCAAATGTAACTAGCCCAGGAGACCCCGTGGAAGCCACTGTTTTGGTTGGACCTCTTTTAAAGGCACTCTGAGGATTTAAGTATATTACTGAGAAGGCTTGTCTGCAGCCACCCACTGACTGTAGAGACATTTGAACACGTTTTCTTTGGAATAAACCCAGTTATGTACTAACTAGAATCCTAGTAGCTATACTTTTTGACCCTCATTAGCAATTCATATTTTCTTAAAAGTCAGCTTATGATTTTGTCATCAGACAAGTTTTCGCCAAATATGAAGACTGTTTCAGAGAGTTATACTTGTAATAGAATTACATAACAGACATGAAATTAACTTTGGCAGTCACTAGCAGGAGACTATCTTGGAGAGCTGGCTAAACCTTACTTTGTGTTCTATGTGATACACATAGCCGTGGCCTCAAGCCCTTCATGTGAATGAAGATTACACAGAATCTGTTGTTTTCTTAGGCTGTAACAGGTTCCTAAAGTACAAGTTCATATGAAAAGGAAGAACTGAAATAGTCAACTGTTTTCCAAGGGAAGATCTTCCCTATACAACTGAGCATTGTGTTTTGCGATCACATTCCCACTCACCTGATCCCTTGTTCTGTAAATGGTGCTGGCCCACAAATGCAGACGAGGACCTTGGATTTGTCTGAGCTTCTTATAAAAAACTCAGAAAGAAGAGCTGGTGAAATGTATCCTTGTTTGCCATTCCATTCAGAAGGAGGTTCTGACAGAACAAATTCAACATCAAATCTAGAGGACAGGAACATGGGGGGGCGAAGTCTATTATTTAAATACATTTTCAACAAGCTGCAAGCTAACTAAAACATTCTCTTTTTTTCATGTAGAGAACAATTTTATATACAAAGATTTTCTAGTACAGCGCTGGAGTAAATTTTAAGTAACCAATTAACAAAGTATACAGATCTAAACTTACATAATGATAAAAGATCAACTCTTGCTATAGATCATGACAGCATTTTGACTTTTTAAATAAAGTGCTCCAAGGGAACTCTGAGAAGTCCACATTTCTATTAATAATCTCCTTGTGGAACTCACAAGGAACAGCCACTTCCAAGTGCCTGTGCTTTTTTAATCTACCACTCAGCCTCTCCGATGAGTTCTCAAACCTTACAACCAACCGCCTACCTGGCTTCTCACTATTGTGTTCGCAAAATCTTCAACTTCAAAGTGACTGAGACTTAAGATCTTCCTGCCCTACTGACACTATCTGTCTTCACTGCTGTAACCCTACCCATTCTCCTTTCCCTTTTCATAATGCTACCACAACCCTTGTCAGTTCTTAGCTAAGTATGGATGGGGAAACACTGCTTCTCCTGATCTAGCATCCTTTGTTACATGTGCTATGGAAGCAGTCCCCCATTTCTCTTCTTCAGAGTCCTTGCCTAAGGTTATACATTTGTAGTCCTTGGGACAATTATTCAATAAAGTCTGTGTTACCCATTAGATCATAACCTACAAGAGAACAGAAGACCACGTTGGCTTTGGTTTGCACTGTATCCCAGGTGGTCAGCACAGAGGAGGCACTCCAAAGTTTATGCAATGAAACATGGAAGTGAAAAAGAGGTACAGAATTCCAACGAGAGAAAATATCAACCAAGTCTCACAATGTACTTTTGAGTCATTTCTTCCCTCAAACTTAGTAATCTGTTAAATGAAGTTGATGAGCATGAGCCCTAATAAGATTCTAAACTGTACCTATTGAGCTATTATCTGAAGAATAGCAGGAACTGATTACATACTAATCTGAAACTTAGAAAAAGTTTCCCTTTGGATGGGGCTGGGAACATAGTAACAGACCAGAAATAAAATATAGCTGGCACAGCTGCTCACCTGATGGTCACGTGTCTCAGCTGGGTTAGGGCTACGAAGAATTGACGAGCCCGTGCAATCAGCACAGACCAAAGAGCGCCAAGCCTAGAGACTAAGACCAGTCTCAGCCCTGTTCTCGAGCCCAATCTCCAAGTCTTATTTTCTATTTGTAAAATGAGGTGGGAGACTAAATGATTTTTATAACCCTAATACCATTGATTTTACATTAAAAACCACACAGAATTATTTATTCCCACAATTATAATTATCACTTAGTATTAATGGCAATGCTAATTCACCTTATACAAATTCTTCACTTCAATTATTCTTTCACTAACAAAAGTTTTTCTCCCTGGTATTTAAAATTAAGGCAATTTATAAGGGCCAAAAAAAAATTTGAAAAAAAAGGTTATTTACAAAGATGCCACAATGACTAAAAAATAAAAGTTATACTTAGAAGAATAAAACTATATGCTTGTATATAAGAGATTACATCTAAAAATGTATGTGGATCCATGAGTGCATTTTTTTCCTGAGGAAAAGATCCATATGTCTTATTAATTTAAAAATATTTTAAATGTTAAACATATAATTTACCTACAAGTCAATAATTTAAGTATCTTAAAAAGTTCTGCTACCATCACCACAATCAATTTTAGAACATTTTCTTCATTCTTGTACATATTGTTAACTCCCCATTGCCATAACCCTAATAAACTATTAATCTAGTTATTGTTCTTATAGATTTACCTATCCTGGGTTTCATATCAAGAAAACAAAATAAAAACACAAAACCCTCAAAACCATTTAAAACACAGAAGAAAGCAGGAAATAATAAAATGATAGAAAATTTTAAATGGGCCAAAAGGGAGAATGATAAGGCATTAACCTACCTACATCTGCATTAATCCACTCTCCAATGCACTCCTTTAGCAATGCTATTCACACCCCTGGTCTAAGAGAATTCAATGGTCAGAGGGGATGCTCAGAGGGTGAATTCATTTGCAAATGGATTTTGGACTTTCACTGTCATCCATAGCCCTCTGCAAAGCAGAATTGAAGCTTTAAGACAGTTCCCTTCTCCAGTCTTGGATTTTATTATTTAGAAATCTTGGATCACACAGGTTTGTCTGCTTTTTCCATAGGGACTTATGTAAGACCTAACTTAGATGGCTGCTTGTTTTAAGACAAGTCATTACTGTATTTCACACTTGTTTGAAGACAAGTCACTACTGTGTTTCACACTTTGCTGTAGCACCCTATCTTCAGTGATCTCTTCATGAGGGCAAGTCCTGAGTAAGGCTATGTCATAAGAGTTCATTGTTCTTAGATTAAGGCTTACAATTAAACATTAGCTCAAAATTCATTCATAGATCTATGGTTTATGTTTGTCCCTGGTCCATTTTAGAGACATCATTACCATTTTATTAGGGGATATCATGAGATATTCCCACAGAGCCTGTGGTAATTCTACTGATAGTATCATTAAATTACCCAGTGGTATAGAATTTAAAATACTGTTTAGAAAAGAAAAATATACATAGGACAGTTTTTTAGATTATAATACATGGATTGTTCATTGTACAGATTAAAAACTCAAGTGATTCAACACTATTTACATAATAAGGGTAGGAGATAGAATTAAACTTTCAAAAGTAATTATTCACTAAGGAAGCACTATGCTGGTTAGTCTATAACATGTTATAATAAAGCAAAGAGAATATGAAAACATCAAATATATAGAAGTCTTAAATCGCCAATTATTGGGAACTCTCCAAACAAAAGATTTGAACAGAAGTACAGTGACCTCTAAGTCCTTCTTCCCACACTACGATATTTTGACCTTAAGTCTAAGGGAGTATTTCAGTGTAATGTCTTCTGATTATCAAAGGGGCCCAGAAGAGCTGGA